GGCTAACTACTAAATTTTTTCGATTTCGAGTAATCTGCACCTAAACCTATTTTCTCCATAAGCCCTGTTATTTCTATTACGCGATTTTCTATAACACGATATTTTACAAGAACACAATTATCGCGTTATAGCAGAACTACCTGTAATTGGTTCCAGCTCACCGAAAATTACATACAAAGTAAAAAAAAAAAAAGGCAGTAAAGTACACTTACTTTGAGGTGTGTATGTAGAAGGCTCCTGGTTGATGATGATGATGATGGGAATTAGAAGTGGGGATGGAAGAGATATCACCTCATGCTTCATGCCGTCATTTCACCCATAAAATTTTAAGTTCACTCGGTGTAATTCAAGATTATTTTCTTTAAATGAACACTGCACTGCACTATATATTGTCAATACAGTATGTAAAATAAATTCCAGAATGACCAATAATTGTACTGTAAAAATGTAAAAATAGTTTATGTTCAAGAGAGTTTCAAGCAAGATGTTACCTCTACTGACCAGAGATACAAGCTGACGCCTGTTTGGTGAGTTGATTGGCTGTTTGGCGCATTAAAAACTAGTTTCCTGTACTTCAATTATGTTAAATAATTGTTAAAATGACTAAAAAATTTAATATAAAACTTAGAAAATTATTGAATAGTACAACCTTCTTGATATTTACTCAAATGGGAATAAATTTAAGCCCTAGAACCGATTACTGTATTGGCAGACTATTATTCCAGCTGGTGAGCAAGCGAAAACATGTTGAGTGGAATTCGTAAGGAACTCGTTAACTGAACTGAATATTCTTATGGAAGGTAATTCGTTAACCGAGCCGTTCGTTAACCGAGGGACCACTGTACATTCGTTTGTGCATGACCAGTAATTAAGCCTTTATTTTTCACACGAGTGATTTTGTTGTGAATATTTTCCAGTAATTTGATTTCTCATTGATTTGTATTTTGAGTTAATACCTGATTGACCTGAATTTATAAGAGCATTTTGTCTAACCATTATTATTGATTTTTATTTTTGAGTACTTTCATTGCCGATTTATTTTATTGAATTATCCATCATTTTAGTTCTCATGATTTTGTGTCATTCATTTTTGACATATTTTTATGTTTGTTTTCAACAATTTCTATTTTTTCTTAAATACTCAGAGCATTTTAATATTAATTTGATATTTACTAGAAATTATTTCCTTGCATTTGTGATATCTAGCAAATTAAAGGTTGACGTGCAAATATTGAGAAACATGATTTATGTTGTCAATTTAATATGCTAATTAATATTAGATATTCCTAGCTAGGATTAGGAATGAAAATTTGCAAAACATTTAGTGACCATTTAAAATTTTTTCATATAAGCGACCAGGGGAGTATTGTAACAATGTCATGAGTTTCCCGCCAATTTTAAGGCAATAGTATGAAGGCCTTAGGCCTGTTTTCGACCAATGAGAAAGCCTATGAGGAGTGACGTCATGAAAGTCGTGGTGTCCTGTGTGGGCTGATGCGGTTTGAATAGCAGAGCCTGTGTTGGAATTTTGTGTAGGGAGGTGTGGGACGTCTGTGGTGGTGACATGGCAGGTATTTTGGTGTCTTCTATTTGGTAAATCCTTAAGTTCCCATTTGTTGTGAGATACGTGGTCCCGTTTAACTAGCTAGGAACATAGGTTTATTATTTTGAAGTGTAGCTGTTAAACCCTAATTCAATAAATACAGTAACCGTTAATATGAGTCCTAATTCATTCCTCCCTTATCAAGAAAGAGTGATGTGTTATAAATGTCTTGGTATTATGCAGTAATACGGTGAGTCCTATATATAATAACTATCTTATATTTCCCCTCTGTGAAGTATTGATATCTTAGTCCCCCTAACCAGCTTCCCCGAGTCTCCCCGTGGTGTAGGCCTTTCTAGCCTAACCACAAACCGTAAGTCCTGTACCCCCCTCCCCTCACACGTAAACAATTACCTCTCACTACCTCCCTTCCCTTACTCCTCTCCACCTCTCACGAGTATAACGAGAAAGAAGAATAAGTATAGTCATGCGCCGGTTAACGTCCTAGATACGTTCTTGGAAACGTGACTTTAACCAAAATGGACGTTGTCCGATCATCACATAAACTTTGTATTTATACATACGTGTATGTGGAATTTTATATACATACATATACACTTTTACTCTTAAATCACAACTGTAATGTGATACGGGTGAATAATTTTTATCTCGTGTAAAATACATGACGTTTATATCAAAATTATTTACTGTTTTACAAGGATTCCAGCAATGCCGGCAGATGGGGGAGAGGGTGGGAGCGAGCGAGGGGGCGTGGGGGGAGGGGAGGTAGTACGTTTGACAGTTGGCACAGGCCCAGGTCTAACACGTGTATATTTATCAGTTCTTAATTGACTAAGCTTCTCTCCTATAAATTGCCAGTGAAATGACCTGGGCGAATATAATTTACATTGCTGGGATTCTTGTAAGATGTTGATTTATTTAAATATAAACAATCTATAATTCGCACTAGACATAACAATTTTAATACCGTAATCAAATTAATACATGTGCACTGCAGCTTTGCACTAAAGTCATTTACATTATTTCTTTTATGTTTCTTTTAGTATGGTGTGCATGAAAATGGATGAAAATAAATGAAGAAATTTATGTAAATCTACCCAAAAATACAGTTGAAAAACTTTATATTATAAAATGTACTACAGTATTGTACACTAATGTACTACAATTTTTATATAGAGCAAAATATATGACGTTTATATTCAAATTAATCTCTTGTCTTGAAAGGATTTCAGCAATGCAAATTATATTATCCTAACTTCAGTCTGAGATATTATATAAAATAAACACCTTAAAGCATAAAGTTATCACCAATTTTTTGTCTGGGAACACAAGGAGGGAGGCAAGGAGGGAGGTAACCAGCGAGCGTGGGAAGAGGGGCGGAGCAGGGGGGAAGCAGGAGGTGAAGTGCCAGAGTGTCTGGTGTTTGTTTATTTATTTGAGATATGATTTGACAGTTGGCGCTGAAGGCCTGTGCGTTTATTTATCATTCCTTAAGAGTGACTAAGCTCTTCTCATAATTTGCCACCCAAACGACCTGGGTGAATATAACTTACATTGCTGGGATTCTTCTAAGATAGTGATTTATTTGAATATTTGTATAAACAATCTATATTTGCAAAAGATATAACACAACTAATGGTTGGTAAAACTTGTCAAGTAAGTGGGTGTCAAGTCTGTCAGTATGAGTGGCACGTGTGAGTGCTTGTGTCCCCCATCATAGGAGTCCGTTTTCTCTCGCTCAGGACGCCCGAGTCCTCCGTTTTCTCTCTTAATTTTAGAGCGCACCAGAGACTTCGTTATTCCTTAGTAATGACAGAATTTGAAATTGCATCTGGGGTTGCAATTGTTGAGGCAACTAGATATGTCTGATTACAGCAAATGTGTTATTGTCAATTTGTAAGTGAAAGATTTTATCCTCAACAGATGTAGGTTAACATTACACCTGGAGGCAAATGCTTAAAAAAAGCCTAAGGAAGGAAGAATATTCCTTTAACATATAATATCTGGCCAGTATGGGGAGGATCATCGTGTCTCCGTCAGGGGGTCGTCGAGTGGTGGTCCAGCAGGCGTCACGGAAGTTTTTTTTGGGGTTGGGGGGGGGGGCACGGACGTATATGCGATCGGACGTTGTTCGGTTGGACGTTAATCGGCGCATGACTGTGTATAAATATATAAGTAAATAAATATAAATAATAATAAGACAATATAAGAATAATTTGTTCCATAAAATATGTTACATTCAATATAGGGACATATAATCATTGTTACACAACACTTCAATTTAGTGCGAATTTGGTTTTAAGCGACCTCTCTTCGAACATATCTTGTGTTATATCGATGTTCTACTGTACCCAGAAAATTCCAGGGATGAAGGATATTTTTCCGGGGTTGATTAATGATGCAATGGGCATTTTCTGGAACTTCCGAGAACATTTTTCCGTTACCTGGAAAATTCCGGGGATGAGGGATTTTTTTCCAGCTTTGGGAGAGTCATCTCATTACCCGAAAGTACTCTGCATCAATTGTTCCGGCTAACGGGGATATCACTGTATTCTATACAGTTCCAAATGTATATCACCGTAATTAATCACTGTAGCTATGAGTGTTAAATGAGAACAGAGGCTATTTTAGATAAGCTCTACTAATACGTCCTGTTGGCGTGAAGGTTGAGATGACAGTCGGGGCGCTAGCTGCCTTCTAATAGCGGACACTAGCATTTCTAGAGTCACTCCTCAAGGGTGGAACTTACCCATCACGTGATCTGACCATATCACCGCATAGCTAGTGGAAAATTACAGGGGGTGATATGATTATATAACACTAATGTACACTCGCACCAAAAAGTATCGGTGCAGGGCGAGATCGACGAGTTCCGAAACGATACGGATACACTGTGATATGTCGGGAAGGTTGGTAAGTGTATCCTCATAACCCCCCCCCTCCACTAGGTGTTGCTATATGGGTGACAATCAGGGCTGCTAACATACGACTGGAACAACTCGCCTTTCCCAATACCTATCGTCACTGGTCTCAAATTGTTCACACTACAGTATGCACTGATACTTTTTGTTGCGAGTGTACTACCCCATATTTATATAAAGGCTATTTGTCTATGAGACGGGCTAATACAGAGTGTTGTTCTTTGTTTCCCTAAGCCAAGTACGTAAAGTTAAATGCGCGTAAGATGTGACATGACTACAGATATCAACACAAACTATAGTATCTGGCTGCATTTTCTAAACTATCTGGTCTTGCAAATTCTGTTCTAGCCAGATAGTAAGGTTCACTATCTGGTGCATCCCTACCTTTGCATGGAAATGAACACAGGCAAGTTTTTCTTAACCACCCATCATCACATTACCTGAATAAAAGGTATGCAATATTTTAGAGTACACTTCTATTATAGCCAATGCAGTGAATGCAAAAAAATTAAATATTCAGTGTAGAGTAATACGTTTATTAAGTGATTCATACAAACATCACTATATAAACTATCTTTTGTAGTTAGAATAAAAAGATACTCAAGTCAAAGTGACAATCCCTGTAGACATAATATATATTCCACCATTTTATTCATCTAAAACCATCTTGACATCATCTTCACCTCGACATTTGGAGTTCATAAGCTCTCTTCTTATCTGAAAAAAAAAAGAAAAAAGGAATTAGCTACAGTACTTAATTGAATTCACAATGAAAGCCATCAATTCATATTTACTCCTGAATCTTTTATTTGTGTTGCCTGACATGCCTTGTATGAGCTTACTAAGGCAGTTGTGACATGCCTCATGTGAGTTTACTAAAGCAGTTGTGACATGCCTCGTGAGAGGTTACCTAGGCAGTTTTGACATGCCTCATGTGAGGTTACTAAGACAGTTGTGACATGCCTCATGTGAGGTTACTAAGGCAGTTTTGACATGCCTCATGTGAGTTTACTAAGGTAGTTTTGACATGCCTCATGTGAGGTTACTAAGGCAGTTTTGACATGCCTCATGAGAGGTTACCTAGGCAGTTTTGACATGCCTCATGTGAGGTTACTAAGGCAGTTTTGACATGCCTCATGTGAGGTTACTAAGGCAGTTTTGACATGCCTCATGAGAGGTTACCAAGGCAGTTTTGACATGCATCATGTGAGGTTACTAAGGCAGTTTTGACATGCCTCATGAGAGGTTACCAAGGCAGTTTTGACATGCCTCATGTGAGGTTACTAAGGCAGTTTTGACATGCCTCATGTGAGGTTACTAAGGTAGTTGTGACATGCCTCATGAGAGGTTACCAAGGCAGTTTTGACATGCCTCATGAGAGGTTACCAAGGCAGTTTTGACATGCTTCATGTGAGGTTACTAAGGCAGTTGTGACATGCCTCATGAGAGGTTACCTAGGCAGTTTTGACATGCCTCATGTGAGGTTACTAAGGCAGTTTTGACATGCCTCATGAGAGGTTACCAAGGCAGTTTTGACATGCCTCATGTGAGGTTACTAAGGCAGTTTTGACATGCCTCATGTGAGGTTACTAAGGTAGTTGTGACATGCCTCATGAGAGGTTACCAAGGCAGTTGTGACATGCCTCATGAGAGGTTACCAAGGCAGTTTTGACATGCTTCATGTGAGGTTACTAAGGCAGTTGTGACATGCCTCATCAGAGGTTACCAAGGCAGTTTTGACATGCCTCATATCAGGTTACTGAGGTAGTTGTGACATGCCTCATGTGAGGTTACTAAGGCAGTTTTGACATGCCTCGTGAGAGGTTACCAAGGCAGTTTTGACATGCCTCATGTGAGGTTACTAAGGTAGTTGTGACATGCCTCATGTGAGGTTACTAAAGTAGTTGTGACATGCCTTGTGTAAGGTTGCTAAAGCAGTTGTGACTTTTTGTGGCCTAATTCAATGTTGCGTGCCAAGTTATCCCACTACAGTAATACCCCGCTTTACGCGGTTCTCGTTTACGTGTTTCTACATTTACGCGGTACCCCGCCAGAACCGGAATTCCCACTTTAAGCGGGTGAAGTATAATTTTTTTATTTAGCGCATAAAATTCATACAAATTACCCGGCCAGAATATAATTTACATTGCTGGAATTCTTACAATATGATGATCATTTTGAATATAAACATCATGGATTTTGCGTGACATACAAATTTTAGATCTAATGCAAGAATTTTGTTTACACAGAGCAAATATGTTATCTTTTGTGCAAAATATATGATGTGTATATTCAAAATATTCCTGGTCTTGCAAGGAATCCAGCAATGTCAATTATATTATCCTAACTTTAGTCTGAGGTATTATTTATTACTATACCTTAAAATCTAGTGTTTTCACCCAAACATTTCTGAGAGAGGGAGGAACCAGCGAGTGTGAGAAGAGGCGGGGGGGTTGAGTCCATTATTTGAATGGACATTAAACTGACGACTGTATTTCTCTTAAATATTAATTGTGTGTGCATACCATCTTAAAATTAAGATGTTATTTTTACTACAACATAGGTATTGTGTCGGAAAAAGTGGAGTTTGGGAGTCGGCCCAGTCTCTATTTCAATTAATCCCATATGTTGTTATTCCATTTACACTGTACGCGTTTCTCGTTTTACGCGGACCTGCGCGGGTTCAATTGACTGCGTAAATCGGGGTATTACTGTATATTTAAAATCATATTTTGTGGTAGGTCTCCTAAAGTCTACCCACGCTAAGAAAAGGAAGAAAAGACACTGGAGAGTGAATAAATAGTGCACCATAAAAAAAAAAAAAAAAAAATACTAATACAGTATAAGAAAACAGATTGGTCCTTCCTCTGCCTCCCTCCTCTACTGCAGCTGGAAGATGCTGACTTCGCAACTCCACCTTGATGAAACCAAGGTATAAAAATGTTTTATTTCTTTACTTTCCACTACTCTGTATACATATCTTCTATAGCATAAGAAATTAAGAAAACAGTAATGTATGTTTTCAAGAACTTTAGTTTTAGGTTTTTTCTTGGTAAATATGACCTGGGAGACCCATTATAGTACCTCAAATGAAGAGTTAAATCCAGTCTGCCAATAACTATCAAACAACTGAATACCGTAATGTAATCCCATGAATTTACCATCTCTTGCTTTACCTCTTGATTCAAGGCTGTGAAACTGGAACTGAAATTTTGTTTGAATATCTACCAGCCTGTTATTTCATGTAGAAAAGAAATATCTCTCAGTCAGTGTTCCAACACGCCCATATACTGGAGAACTTCAGCCAGAGAAAATGAGGTCTGGGAGGTTTCCCCAATTAATATTAGGCTTTGCAATGCACAGACATCGCACAGGTTATAATAAGCATAACCATTTAAAAGGAAGTGATGTGATACCAGTAGTTATAATTTCTTACAATAACTTTGCAAAGCAAAAAAAAAAAAAAAAAATCACATTATTGCAAAATCATTCAGCTTATTAGGGAAGTAGTGCAAGTTCAGAAAAGGAAGAAGATTTATGGATCCAAGGACTGCAGTTAACCCATTAGCTGTGGCCTGCGTTACATTTAACGTGCACCAAATGTGCAATATTCACAAAATAAATTAAAGTTCTTAAAAAATTTACATTTATTTTACAAAAACACACAAGGTAGATGGTTCCAGGTCACTAGAAGGTGAGATAAACATACTTCCTCCATGGTGAGTGTGTGTGTACTGTACTGGTGTAGGGCGACCAAGAGGCCTAAAGGAGACAGTCGATAAATGAATCACTTAGAACATAATTATTAAAATTTATGCCAAAATCTTGTCAGCTTGCTCGTTTATACTCCAGCCTTAATTGTGTGGCACTCCATTGGTTTTTCACAGCATTAGGGTTAAGGAACAGAGAAAATTTTGGTATGGTAACAAATTTGTGTGACACATTTATAGATCTGATAAGAGTTGAAAGAAGATGGAAGACACTGAAAAATGTATAGGCTATGGAGGACATTTCTGAAAAAAATTCTCAATTTTACAAGGAGAGTAATAGTAAGATTCCAAAATTAAATTATCTACTGCATTCTGAGTTAATTGACCCAACTCTGGTTATAAACATTCACAATCACCCTCTACAGCCAATCAGGTGGAATAATACCTTACACCATAAGTGCTTTAGTCAATGTGGTCAGCTGTCACACCAGCAATGTCTGTTGCTTTCAGCACTTCTGCAACTATTCCAGAGCTACCAGTAGCCTTTCTTCAATTTGTTAATAACTTTCTTCACCCATTCTTCTTCAATACTTGGGGGGGGTCTCTGTGCCGACTCTGCTGATCCTAGGCTGCCCATCCCGTTCAAACTCCTCATTCAGCAGATAGTCAGTGTTTTATTCAGGCATCCTTAATTTCATCATCATCAACAACCTTATTTCTATCATAATTTCTTACGCCCAGCACAACAATTATGTAATTTTTTCTACCCACCATTTGCCTTACTATTCAGTATACCTCACATCTAACATCCACATTATTTAGCTTTTCACAGAAACATCCTATTCACAAAACCTTACTATATGTATATTACAGAGAATAATTAAAACTGGATGGGTACTGAGTGAATACTGTCCATATACATGAACACATATACAGTACTAACTTCACCGGTCATGGTATGATGAGTGTGGAATTTGACAACATCCAAGAGAGACTGCTTCTGATCTGGAGCCAAGTCCTCCTTATACCGCTGCACAAAGGTCAACAGAGCTTGATGCCACAAAACTGGAAGCTCACGACGGTCATGTTCAAACCTTGAAAAAAGTCAGTACAGGGTACACTGTAATTTTATTTTTTAAAAAGAAAAAAAAAAAAATCTAAATATACAACATACAGTACATGTACAAACACATATAGTTACTCAGTTTTGTGGAGACAAGACTGGGACTCTGGTTCCTGAAATCCAAACTTGATTAGATATATTTTAATAGCTGACAGTCAATTGAGAAATAATTCCTTGTTACAAGTCAAGCAATACAGGCACTTTTATGACAACCTTACTTCCAAGGAAATATTTTTCATTCATCTATATCTTAAACAGGATGATAACTCCACCTCTCTCATAAATTATATTAATAAAAGGCTAAAATATTCTCCCCATTTCCCTTTTACTTTTTTCTCTCCCAATTTATCTCCTCTTTCATTCCCAGTTGTTTGTGTGATTGTTTTTAAAATAGTGTTGATCTTTCCTTTGTCCTTCTTCTATTATTCTTTTGCAACCTATCACAAAGTATTCAATTCCCTTCTACTTCTAAAATCCTTATCATCGCCCAATATTTTCCTACTTGCAACTAACATTCATATGCCTTTCTCCAAATTAGTACAATTCTACCAATCTCTCATCTCATCATTCATTTTGTTCTTCATTCCTACTCTCTTGTAACCACATCCCAGCTGCACTTTTGAGGGCTGCATTCTTAAGCTAATCTTATTCCTCTTCAATCCCATCTATGTGTCCATCTTGTCTTTTATCATTTCTTTAAATTTTATAGCAATATTCCCCCAAAACTTGCCAACCTTTATAACCTTCCCATTTCTTCAAATACCTTTTTACCATAAAACCTCCATTCACTGTTTATCTCACTTCAACCATATACAGGTGCTCCTCTACTTATGAATGAGTTACGCTCTTCTCCAACTTTACTCTTGTAGATACCAAACATATTATAAAAAATGAAAAGATTATGGATATTTAGTACAGCTATACCCTTTAATAAAGCCTTAAAACCTGGCTCACTCTTATCCCCTTAGGTAATGTTTGTTTGATCTGGAATTTTCTTCAAAATAATCCAGTCTCATCCACATTAAACACCTTTTCTGGCAGGTAACCCCCCTCATTGATGAAGTTTGTATCTCTGAAAGTTGAACGTTCTTAAGTTGAGGAGTACATGTATATAATGTTCCGATTTTCCTTGTGTCACTAATCCTTGTACACTCACTCCAAAAAGTATCTCTACAATTTTTTCTTAGACAATATGACACAGCAGACAAAGGATTTTGACAACCCTACCGAGACAAAAGGAGTCGCAGTGTTTATTTTGAAATTCATGGGACCTCATCCATAGATAACTTATGGAGCGAGTGTGCAGCCACATCAATCAATTAACATTAAGTTTTTCTATCCACCAGTCTATCTTTTCTATATATGCTTATAAATTTCTTTCTGAAGCATGTATTGTATGCCTAACTATGAGATGCAACATTATTAAGTTTTGCTGGTTTGTACCCACACCACCCACAGTCCACTCAACTGTAAATGGGTACCTTTACCCTTTCCATGCTAATTTGGCCTGTAAGCCACGCCCCTATCTATAGCTACAAATAGCCGATTGGATCCCCTGAGCGTTTTACCTTCCTTCACACTGCGTGTATATAAGCGCATATTAATATAAACCTTTCATGATAAGCATTTAAAATTTTCTAACATCCTCTCTGAAGCGCTAATGTCTTGAAATCATTTGCATTTTGACAGTCCAGATATTTAACATTATTTTAGATAATAACAGGGATGCTTGCCAATAATCTTGAACACATTTATTTAGTTTGAATTTTCTATGAACCAATCGGCTATTAGTATAGAAGAGGGGGCATGGCTTACAGGCCAGGTTACCGTGGAAATACTGTACTATAACTTTATAGTCGAAGAAGTTGAGTGTTGTGCCAGTCAGGTTGCCTTCTTATGTATAGCACAGTACTGAAAAATAGGCCTAATATACAATGTGCTGTATCTGCACTGCTCCTAATGGACTGTCATGCTTACAGGACCCAATGTCACAGCCCACTAACATCCTTTTCTAGGACAGATCTTTAACCCTTAAGCCCCGGGTTAGGTTGGAAAAAAAAGTGGGAAAATAGGTGGAAGTTCTGGAACGTCACCTGGGACCTGAGGGTTAACCCCTACACCCCAGGCTAGGGTGCTGCTGGCCGTATCCCCCACGCGGGGTAAATCGAGAAAAATCAACATTTCCAAATGTTTTTTTTAACCTTTTTAAATGATAAAACAAAAAAAAAAAGAAGTAAGAAAAACTATATATTGACCCTCTAGAAACTTCCCTGTGGCCGCTGTGGCGAGGAGATAAGGAGAGTGTTGTTTTGACGGCTAGCACTCGTGGTCACTACGCATTTAACGGCCATTTTATGCTTGCCTTTGTATCCGGGATGGCCAGTAATGCATATATTTACTGATCATAATACTTATTTCCTATAAATAATTCATTTAGAATATTTTATTTGCATTATTTTTCATAAAAAGCGTTCGGCAACACACATGCAGTCGGTCGCCAGGCTGTCTTTGCGTTCTACCCCCATTCATTTAGAAAGCCCTTCTGTTTACATAGGATAAGCTGTAAAAAAGTATTTATAATAATATTTTTATGTAAAATAATACAGTACCAATCACTTGGTAAAAATCAGTATCTAGCATCTTTCTCAGCTAGCTAACCACAGGAGACCGTTATCACAAGAGTCAGTGACCCATCAAACATGCCTGAGCGAGGTGTGATCGTGAGTTACTGTCACGTCACCTTTATCAGCCCGTTTCTCAGAAAGATTTTTTCTAACCTTCCTATCCCTAAGGCTTGGCCATTTATGGGTTGATTTTAATAAAACAAAAACTAAGTACTGTAGTAGTATAACATACTGTGCATGGTGTAACATATAGATTTTATTTATATTTGGCTTGGTTTATTATTTGTTGATTTATCTTTATAAATATTTGGAGGAAAAAGGGTAAGTTAGGAAAAAAATTCATGCACTCACTATGAAAGCAATAATAAAAAATATATGTTACGTTCAAGATGAGTAAATTACCTATAGTCTACATGAATTTCAAAGTAATTTAGCAAAATGTTATGGAGACGTAGGATTTTGAATACCCGGTATTTATAAGAATATAAGGTAAAAATCTGATATCTAGGAGTAGGGATTAGGCAGAACAGATTCAGGGGTATAGTAACAATGTATATGGTGTCCTTACTTGCTGACAGGATGCTTCCCTTAACAATATAATGTACGTGTACAATGGTGTTTGCATAAATAGATATGGCTCCATGCCAGATGAATCTAGACTCGGGAAAAATTTCCCGTGAAGAGTGGAAAATTCGACAACTCTATTCACACCAGTATAATATAGATTTTTTAAAATACAGTAATACCCCGCTTTACGCGGTTTCACTTTCCGCGATTTCGCATTTACGCGGTACCTCGCCAGAACCGGACTTTCACTTTATGCGATGCATCTACCCATATATGAGCAGAGTGTCTGGCGCGACGCTATTTTTAGATTCGACCCTCCCGCCTTCTCCCGCTTGGGCAAGCCGCGCGGTAAGGTTGCACAGTGGATGTCTCTGTTGTGTTATCAGTGACGTCATATGACGTATCGGACTGTGATTGGGCCATGCATGCATCCTTACCTCCCTCCGCTGCTAGCTGTGATTGGTTTAAAGTAATATGACGTGTCCACCCGCAGGAGGGAGGAAAGACGACGCTTGATCTAGCCGCGTCAGTTTAATCCCTCCAGGCCACACAATGTAAACGTGCATCCATTGTTCTGTAAAATGGCTTCCACCGGCCCACCGCCCCCAGAGAAAAACCTTGCCTTACTTGGACCCAGCCGCCCTAAGCCAAAGAAGATACAACATTCCCTAAGCTATGAAGTGAAATACAAGATCATTCAAGATTTGGAGAAAGGAACACGTCAAGCTGATCTCGCACGCCAGCATGGAGTCAACGAATCTACGATTCGTACTATTAAGAAGGATGCAGCCAAGATCAAAGAACACATGAGAATCACAAAGTCTGCAGGTGCTTCAATGATCAAGTATTGCCAGAACAAGGTGCTGCTAAAGGTTGAAAATTTGCTGGTGAGTTACTTGATTCATCAGGTGCGATGCAACATGGCGGTGGACATGCGATCCATTCAAGAGTACGCCCGTGAACTGTACGCAGCAGTGTCACTTAGGATGGGAATTGCAGAGCCCAAACCCTTCCATGCTTCCTCTGGTTGGCTGCATAGGTTTAAGAAGAGGAACAAGATCACCAACATCAACATTGGTGGTGAAGAAACGAGTGCTGACCGTGTGGCGGCTAGAGATTTTCCTCCATTCTTACGTGAGGTTGTAGAGGAAGGACAGTACACAGACGACCAGGTGTTCAACATAGACGAATCCGGTCTATTTTGGAAAAAGCTGCCTACCAAGACCTTCGTTGTCCAGTCGGCCAGCAAGATTCGGGGCCGGAAGTTGCAGAAGGAGCGCATCACCGTCCTCTTTACCACCAATGCCTCCGGTACCTGTAAACTAAAGTTATCGGTGATCCACACAGCCCGCAAGCCGCACACCTACAAGAACGTGGACATGAGCAAGATTAATGTCCACTACCTGACCTCATGGAAGGCGTGGATGTTCTCTGCTCTGTCACTCTCCTGGTTTGATGACTGTTTCGTTCCCGAAGTGAAGAAATTCTGCGAGCAACAGAATGTTCCATTCAACTTTCTGTTGCTTCTTGACAACGCACCAGGACACTCGCCACTACTTATGGATCGTCACCCCAATGTAAAAGTGGTCTTCCTTCCTCCCAACACTACGACATTAATCCAGCCCATGGACCAGGAGTTGATATGCAATGTGAAAGCTGCATACTCTGCAAAGAAGTTTAAGCTCATGAACGACTGTACTAACACCAAGGATGAGTTGCGTAAGCTGGGTGACACCGATAGCGAGAGCGAGAGCAAAAGTGACGAGGACAAGGAACAACA